GTTTTTAAGTTGTTAGAGTAATCAATAAGTTGATGTAATACTTCACGAAAACAACGAGAGATGGCACTGTTACAAAGAATTGACGAAAGATTAAAAACCTCATAAGTTGAATTATGTTATGTATTTACGATGAGTTTAATCATAATACAATATTATGTTGCCTACCCTGTTCTAAAACCCTGTGCACGCCACTGTAGTAACTAAATATAACAGTGTAGTAGGTAACAATACTAGCGATGTTTCACCTAACTATTTGACATTGAACGAGAGCGGCATTGTCTACAGAAATTGAATTAGACAAGCATTTAGCAACATTCATTGTATTAAATACTGACTGTTGTATCGCAAGTTCAATGTTCTCGACAGTGGAGATGGAGACATGTACAATACAATGTATAGTTAGTTCGTTTTGAAAACGCTGAAAGCATACGCGAGTACTAAACCACACACTCGTATCAAGTGTATCCTTTTTGTACGGCACAAAGAACGTTATAAAAGGCACTGGTCCACGCTCAAAACGACGGTCAAGATGATTTAACTTAGTTCACGGAATTTGAACTTTATCCAAGAAACGGGGGAGATCAGTTCGTTGACTCCCTTTAAAATGAGATCCGAGATAGGAAGAACTTGGTAATAAAACGCGGATGTACATACAAAACTAGATCGGAGTTTTACTAACATAAATGATTGTGTACTTTAATAACGTTCTAGATGATAAGGCTGCGTTGTAAATCGTCAAATGTTACGCTAAAACACGAATCACGCCTTCGCCGGCCATGATACTATTTCATTTGTCGTAAATTCTTGTCTTTATGAATGTAATCTATGCAAGAGCAATAAGTTGGCAAATTGTCGTTATTTATACATGCTTGTGGGAGATTTAATTAAATATTCAACTTTATTAGGTGATATTCTTAAGTATTTATTCAATACGTTAGCTTAAAATTAGGTCTTAGGGCTTATGTTTATTACAATGCTTTTGCTATGACAGCATCTAATTAATTAAAGAACATGCAGCAATGAGATCTTCCTAGCGGTCGGGTCAATACAAAATTACTTGGCTTATGTAGGTAGCTTTTTGTTCTATTTAATAGGAAATCCACAGATGCTTTTTAATGACCTAGAATGCTTATTCGATTTAAGTTAGACAGTAAAAGGTACCTATTCGCCAAACAATGAAGTGTAAGGCCGTAAAATCATGTATCTATTTGAAATCAAATACTTAGTAAGTATTACCTAGTTATGTACTAATCTATTTATTTATTTGTCCCCCAGTTTACATAGGTGCGAGTATATTGCGGTAGAAACGCTCTCAAGAGTCTGCTATGCAAATTGCCACTCAATATTGAATAGTTTATATGATAAGCATGCTTATCTATCAGCGCCAGTTATTACCTGGAGTGCCATTTAAGACAAATAGGTAAACAAGAAATGCAAAACATTATTTTTATGATTTATTATTTATTTAATTCAGACAGGCAGTTGAAACAACTGATAAATGCCTGTATCGTATTTTTCTATCAGTGGTTAATTCGATGTTGTGTACCTGTCAAGTTTGTTTTTGAACTGGTTAACATTCTGTGCAGCGATTATATATTCTGGCAGCTTGTTCCATGCTCCGATCACGCGATTACTCAGAAAGTGTCTGTGAGGAATATTTTTCGATAAGCTTTTACACAGCTTAAGGTGGTGGCCTCTAAGATGAACGTTTTCATTACGTGAGAACAGTTGGTCGAAATCAGTAGTCATAATGTCCACTCAAGATCTTGTAAGTCTCAATTAGGTTCCCACGCTGCCTGCGATCCTTCAATGTGGTTATGTTTAAAACCTTCAAGCGCTCTTCATATGGATGCTGTTTCAGTGCTCGTGGTATTTTAGTAAGGCTACGCTGTACTTTTTCAAGTGTTCGATATATCCTTTACGAAGTAGGGCTCCAGACCTGAAATGCATACTCTAGGATGGGCCTGACGAAAGTTTTGTGGATCTTAAGCATCATCTCCGGAGTCATGACACCAAACGCTTTCCTGATGAGGTATATAAGACTCTTGGCGTTTTGGTGATCGAAGTTATGTGCTCTTCCCACTTTAGATCCTCTGTAATCTTTACCCCTAAGTCTGTTTGCACCTTGACCCCTGTCACATTGTAAACAATTTGTGTTAAATAATTATTTACCTACACATTAGCTGTCTCTTTTAACTTTATAGTTACCGCCTCAAACCTACGTAATAAACTTTAAATAAATAAACTATTGGGAAAACCATTTTTTATTGGTTAAGCCAGTAAACGAGCGGACAGATCACCTGATTGTAAGCAATAGGAGTCGCCCATGTACACCTGGAACACCAGATTGTTGGGGATTCAGAGATTAAGAAAAGAGGGGAGAGGGGGGCCTCCGGTAACCTCACTCACACGACGAAACACAACGCAAGCGTTGTTTCACGTCGCTTTTCTGTGAGGCTGGTCGAGGCCGCCTATTCCCGCCGAAGCATGGCTTTCTTACACTCAAATCTATTTATTAGTTACTTATTGTACCAAACTAACTATTATATAATTGTTTTGCGAATCTTTCAATCAGTTGTTCTAGTACGAGAGTTTTACCAATAATCTCGCCTCCTATTGGCTACGGGACGGACAACGACAAAACACTGAATAACTACTACCATTTTTTGCGTGTTCACAACTTTACAAGTACGGTATTTTGTTTGCTGAGAATGATATCACTAAGCAATGATTACTAATGCCATAAGTAATTTTTAAATTGATTATTATTCATAATTTAGTATTAATTTTGTGGTTTATTAAGGAAATACCGAAATCATAGACGCCAACACAACAAACAACCTGTTAGTTTCTCATAATATATGAGAAACTAACAGGAGCTCCAAATGCGAAAAAAAATAAACAATTAAATTTTAAAATGGAGTGAAAAGGCAAATAATTTATATATATTATTTGCATATATACAGCCACAGGTATATTTTTTTTTAAGAGGGGAAAATCATCGAATGACTGCTCCCGCCTGGGTGAGGCGGGAGGGAGTGTCAGACTCTTACTGACTAAAAACCACCCCGTTCCTTCTCCTGCACGTCGAGTCGGAGCCCCGGTTACCCGTTAGGTTCTCCGCGAC